TTTCTTTCCTGTCCCGATGATGTGGTATTCGGATGGGAAACTCCAGGATTGCAGGATTAACAGCTGACGGTAAATCGTGTACCAAAACATTTAGAAGTGAGGTCATTGTTGGTGGGGTGTAAGAATCTGCTTTATTCCATCAAACTGTGTTATTATTTTACATAAACATTAGCTAAAGATTTGAGTTCAAGTCCTTTGGTTGAATATCTTTTGAATACAAATGTGTACACATCACCAGTGGTGTTTTCTGGGGTCATTGAGTTGATTAGTCCCCTTATGGGGTTAAAGTATCTTTTCTTGTTCATGAATCACCCAACTTGATCCACAGCCTTCTTCATGCATTCTCTGTAATCCCAAGTAGCTTGAATATCCTGTGAGACCTCTGCTCTAGACCTCTAAGGCCTTAGTGACATCAGAAACATGTCTCGCCTTCAGGTAACCCCAGCCACAAAGGACACACAAACCTTTTACGTTGTTACGTTGTTCAGTTACCACAAGAATCTTGGGTAATTACGAGGAATGAAAGCTAAGCAGGCTTCTTGTTTTACATTGCCCTGGCTATGATTTTTGTTTTCAGTCAGAGCAAATTATCTCACACAAAAGGCAATACAAGATATGAAGCTACGATGAGAGCAAATACACTTTTGCTCTCATCGTAGAATTTTTTTTTTCATTTAATTTTTTTACTTTTTATGTTCTATAGAAGACTTTGATTTGTGGTATATGTAATTTCAGAAAAAAGCAGCACCACAATTATTTATTTTATTGGCCTGTCAGACTCTGTCTCGGGCTCTGTCCCATGATACTTTGAGAAAGTGCTGGACAACAGGTCAAACGGAAAGGCTTAAAATAGAACTGACACCACTAACAGCTGACACACTGCTCTGTTAAATGCATATTCACGCACGACCACACATGAACGCCCCCTCCCAACTTTACACCCTGACGGAACACACACACTTTTGGACAGTGATAGTTTACTCTCCAAATTTAATCCTTAATCTTCTTCGGGTTTAACAGAAACAACTTGCTCTAATTACTGCAAAACACTATCAGCTCACACAGATGTGTTGTTGCCACCTTTAAAAAATGTTGTAAACCTGCATACTTTCATGTCATTTGATTAATTTTGTGTAATGTTGCATTTGTAGGTCTTGACTAAAAATGGTGCCATTGAAAAAGTGTGTGTATGACGTAGAACTAAAAGCAACATTTTAGATCAAGCTATCTGTGGTAGCAGCTGCCTGATACTTCACTTTCACTGCTTCTATTGGCTGTAGTGTCTGGAGACAAGGTTTTCCGTCATTATCAGAAGAGAATTTTAGTCTGTGAGCTAATACAAATGATAATTAGCTCACAGACTAATTATCATTTGTAAATAGGTCTTGCAATGCCAGGATAGACTTATGGCAGCTTTCCCATTATTTTCCATTCTACTAATTTATTCATTTATTCCTTGAGTTCAGGACAGGTCCTATACCTACAGCATAATATGCCACAATTCAACCCCCAATGGTCCATCCATCCATCCATTATCTATTATCCATTATCCTTTATCCCATTTGGGTTTGTGGGGGGGTCTGGAGCCGATCTCAGCTGTCATTGGGTGAGGGGTGGAGTACACCCTGGACTATTAGCCAGTCAATCACAGGGCACATTCACACTCACATTTAGACCTAGGAGCAATTTTAGAGTCACAATTAACCTAAAAAGTATGTCTTTGGACTGTGGAGATCATCCAAACTCCACACAGAGAGGCCCTGTCCGATGGGAATTCAAACCAGGAACCTCCTCAATGTGAGGCAATGGCGCTAACCACAGGACCGCCCCCAAAGTCTAGTCAAAGAGATATTTTTGCTGATATTTCCTTCTCAATACTGTGTGAGCGTGTCCAAACAAGTTTTCATTGGTATTTTTCCAACCTTCAACTTATTCTTTTAATATTCTTATAAGTCCATATAGTTCTGTGACATCATACACGTATGACTTGACAAAGATATTCCTTTCACACATTTACTTACACAAGTTCCTGTGACACTGATCTGTGCCGAGATTCCACACGAGTCTGAGCTGGCTTTCAGCTGCAGACAGGGTTGTCTGACATGAGCAATATCCGCTGTTATAGATCCCTAGAAGTCATTGAGACACTCTCTCAGACACGCAACCTCACACAGACAAACAAATTGACACAACTGGTAGTACGCTAGTCTGCTGCTAAAGATCTTTTGCTTCAACACGTCCTGAAGGCTTACCTTAACCTTTCCCTCTGTTTAACCCAATCCCTTTGCCTAACCTTTAATCTTACCTTTATCATTTTGGTGGATTAAAAATGACTTCACATTGCAGTAGTAGCTCAGTCCATAAGGAATTGGCTTGGGAACCAAAGGAAATGGTTGACAGTGTACATTTTTTTGCAAATTGCAGAAAGTTGACCATGTACGTTTCTGAATCCAAAATCCATGGAGTAGAGCAAATGGCGAGAAGGAGTGGCAGGACAGGTGTTCAGGTTTAAGCACACTCAAACACACACTCACACACAGAGATAGACAGTGGGAAACAGGAATAAACAGGTGAATTAGTAGTAGCACAGCTGGAGGGAGCCATTGCACAAATATAGTGGAAAAAACATTTTGACAATTACCGCACAACTTTACAAATGAGTTTTGGTTTATTTTAGCTTCTTGTTACATCATGGCCTTTGTGTTTTCTATGAAAGTTGAATTCGAGCTATTCCAGAAGCAGTTGGCCATTTCTTTACCAACTGGCCTACTGTATGCTAACTGCCCACCAACAAACAACAAATAAGCAACTCTACCTAATCATTTCACAATATTGAAAGAGTACCTCATTATAAATATCTTGGCATCTGGTTGGATCAATCCCTTTCATTTAAATTTCACATTGATACATTAACCACTAAACTACGACATAAAATTGGATATTGTACAGAAACAAAGTGAACTTCCCCTTAGTGAGGAGAAAGCGAATAATTGAAGCCATCATCCTATCTGTTCTAGACTACGGGGATGTCATTTATAGACATGCTTCTGCCGCCACCCTAAAATCATTAGACACAGTTTATCACTCCACCCTCAGATTTATCACTGGTGACAAATATTCCACTCTTCATTGCATCCTGTACAATAAAGTTGGTTGGCCTTCACTAACAGTTCGACGTGAACGGCATTGGCTGCTATTTATTTATAAATCACTTGCGGGTAATCTACCAGCATATATCACTTCTTTATTAATCTGGGCTGATAATCAGTATCAGACTTGATCAAGTGACTGGCTAATGTTAACGGTTCCACATGTAAAAACGAACTTTGGGAAAACATCCTTCACCTTTTGTGCTGCACACACCTGGAACACAATACAAAACACATTAAAACTCAATACAATGGTTACCATGGGTCAATTTAAAAACTTGATCACAGCTCACTGTACTCATGAGTGTAAATGTTATTAACTGTAGTTACCTGCTTATTCTTCTGGTCTTATAATCTATGTATTTTGTCTTCGTTATTTTTTGTCTTTTTGTCTCTTATTCGTTTTAATTGTACTCTCGACGTCATTGTAAATGAGGGTTTGCCCTCAATGATTTCTCGAGAATAAATAAAGGTAAAATTAAATGAAAATGAATGAAATTTTAACATCTAGCCGAATAATTAGGATAGGACATCAACTGATCATCTGCGTAAAGGATTACATTTGCATCGTTGAACTATGATTTGAACATTCACTCTTCGTGCTTGTGAGCCTAGGTGAGAGGCCGTATGACAAATTGAAGAGTGTGAGTGACCTTCCTGGCAACAGCGCTATCAGTCATGCTGTGTTGCTCCTTACGTAACCAAGGGTAAATACATAACTCTGTTGTATATCTTAAGCTGTTGGCAGGATAGTGAATCAAACTTTATCAAAGATAAATCCCGTGCCAAGAATTTGTCCTTTTAATGATCTAGTTCCTTTGCCAACATTAAACTTGCATACACTGAGCGAAAAAGTATGCGCTTTAGCTATTTGAAACATGTGAAGCTATTTCGAAGTGGATATAAATAAAATGTGATCTATTTTGGTGTCTTGACCTATAGACTGTAGCTCCCCAGTGGATTCTTTTCTTTCTGGATGTTATAAACAGACAGTGTTAATCGATAAGCATATACTTTCTCTACTACAACCGCAGACACTGACTTACTCAACAACTCACTCGATTAGGATCCAACCAAGAACACACACACACAAACACACACACACACCCTTCCAGCAGTTGACATTAGACCCTCCGACAGCTGAATTGGGGGCTGGCAACAGGCGCGACGTGGGTAGAGGAATGAGAACAGAAGAGGGGCTGGAGGAAAGATGAGTTGCTGGAGGGAGGGTGGGGGGGGGGATATCAAGAAAATGCCTGGAGAATAATAGATGTTATTCCAAGACACATAAACGGATCCACAAAACTGTATTTGACTGTATATTTTTGTTTCTAAAAGCTATGAGGAGATGACTAACTCAATTCAGTCCAATTGTACGTATTTTAGAGGCAAAAATAAATGACAAATTAAGGATTCACATTGGTAAAAGTCAAAAAGGCATTCCATTTCTGATCCCAACTTTGGAGTTCTGGCTCCTTAAAATATTATTTTTAACAGGTCATGTTTTTCAATTGTGTCCCTAGCACCATGAATGCTCATTTACAGTTTTAAGCTAAGTAGATAAAAGTAGCGGGAGTAGGAATGGATGAAATTTGTTTTTAGTTTTTTTGACATCTTACCAACCAACTCTAACCAAGGAGAAATCTTATCAAATAGTTCCCCCCATGCTCAGGAATAGTTTCAGAAAGCGGGCAAAGCAATCAACTGAGGACAAATGGGGTTGCTGTACAGTGGAGGGGGTGGAGTATTCGGTATTAGCAGTGCAGAGTGGGTGAATTGAGAGGAGGGGTCCAGATCGTAGTGGGTGTGGTACATCTACATATAGCTGTGCTTGGGGTCTGGCATTTCTTCACTCCGGATCCCTCCCAGTTGCCCAGTGGGTTAGTTGGGTCTCAGCACTTTGAAACACTCCATCAAGACCACAAGACAACCAAACAAAGTACCAGCCATGAGCAAGTCCTACTCCTCCTCTGCCCAGTCCGCCTCCTCCTATCGGCGCACCTTCGGCTCAGGCGTCGGCTCAACCCCGATGTCCTCTCTCTTCTCCTCTGTCGGAGGAGGTGGTCGCAGCTCCTCGAGCCAGATGTCCTCAAGAATCTATGAGGTGAAGAACACCAGTATCCCCTCCTATTCTAGCTACAGGGTTTCCTCTGGAGCTGGTGGAGCAGGCTTTGGTTCCTCTAAGGCGATGCGTAGCTATGCAGGCGAGAAACTCGACTTCAACCTGGCTGATGCCATGAACCAGGACTTCCTCAACACAAGGACCAATGAGAAGGTCGAGCTCCAGCACCTCAACGACCGCTTTGCCAGCTACATCGAGAAGGTGCGTTTCCTGGAACAGCAGAATGCAGCGTTGACCGTGGAGATTGAGAACTTGAGGGGCCGCGAGGGGCATGGGCGTGTCGCTGAGATGTACGAAGAGGAGATGAGGGAGCTGAGGAGACAAATTGAGGCTATGTCCAACCAGCGGGCCCGAGTGGAGGTGGAGAGAGACAACCTGGCTGATGACCTGCAAAAACTCAAGCTCAGGTTAGTTACAGTATGGTGAAATAATTGGATAGACGGAGTGTATCAATGGATACCATATGTAAAATGATGCTTAAGCGTGTGGATGAATGATTAAACCAGGTGAAGAACACATGATGCTGTTTTATCAATAGAGGGGCTTTGGAAGTAGCCAGCAACTGTTCCAGAAAGAAAAACAGCAACTGAATAGATTAGACAGTGTCTCTGTTACATGAGACTTCTATTATTGGTCAGAACAACTGTCTTTAAAAACAGTTGCCAATGTATTGTCTCATGAGCCTTTAAAGCAAAGCAAA